AGAGAGATTTTTCTTGTATGCATTCTGCCTTTAATCAAGATCATGTTATACACTGTACTGTCATGGCAGTTTTCTTTTTAAAAATTACTTTGAACATTAGACCTCAGCATCCACTAATGTCATATCAAATCAAGGTGTAAACCAGACCCGGATGGTAAAATCTAACTGAGCAAATCAAGCCTCTCAGAGCAAAGTCCCAAAAGTTCCTTCAATACGCAATCATCCCCCAGCTGCAGTGGCCTTTTGATCTAAAAACTCTTCTGACCGAGAATCTTCATAGACACATTTGAAGCAAAGCTACAGCATTCAGCACAACTTTCATGAAATCAATTGTCTAACTCGGTGAGCATTTTCACCTTTTTGAAAAAACCTTTATTTGTCCACTAACTTTTTGTCCTGTCCGCAGGCAACAGGGACAGGACAGGGCAGGGCCCAGTTGTGGGAAGTGCCATGGTGACAGAAGGGAGTGGACATCCCCTCGCTTGTGTTGCAGCGCCAGAAATGTCTGTGAATTACTGCTCTAACTTACACTCCATCACAAAGGTACTGCGAAATCAATCAGAGAAGATGTAAGACTTCAAATGTGTGCTGTAACCGATGTCTGAGCCCCAACAAAAGAGGGCGCCAGAATACATTTAAAAATATTTACCCTGTGTCAGATGAAACCGTGAATGATATTGATCCCCTGCTCTTACATCCCCAGACCTATGTACACCCCGTTATGGGCCCAACCCTTTGATATAGTTATTGTTTTACAACTAACTAAAAACAATATATTTTATGAGCATGGTCACAATGTTACTGAGCTGAACATAAAGTCTGCCTAATATAGTAGTTGCTTTAAGAATCAGCAGGCAATACATCCTGACCTGTGCTCGACCCTCTGCCAAATGAGGTCGTCACATACACAGCCCCTCAGAGGTTACTAATCGAACACTTTAACAGTGTGACAACATTTGTTTACAATGGGTTTAACCTGAGCCCTTTGAAAGGTTCAAAAAGCCTTTATAACAGATAACTTGCCTTCCCTCTGTCCAGTAAAGAGCCATACCACAGACAGGTCTCTGCCAGGCTGGCTGCCCAAATGTCTGGTAAATGCAGCGCCTGGCTAGAAATTGCAAGCCATGTCTGATGTAGGCTCACACAACAGTAATCCAAAGAAGAGGCCCATTGAGAGGGGTGTGGGAAGGCATCAAAGTGTGGAATAGGTATGTGTGAAGAAGAGTGCGTGACTGTCAAGAGAGATAAAAGATAAATCAGATTTACACGAGTGGACTACGTACAATAACCTAAAAGCCTCCTTGAATGATGCATTTTATCACTTAAGACCTGCTGAGAATGAAGTGTGAGAACAATGTTTAAATGCGCCCTAACATGATTCATGTTTTGGTAGGAAGAATTCCGAGAGCTGGGAATGACTTTTGGTCATCCAAATGCAGGAACGAAGCGCCTTCACTCTCAACTCTACACAAGCTCCTGCTTGATGGCGCCAGGTTAAAACAAACAAACCCTTACAAATGCACATCATCAGCAATGTGTGCACTCAGCCAAGCAAAAATTCTCCAGCCAGTGCCCTTGGCCAAGAAAGATGGCTTAGTTGGATCCCATGGCCACTGTACGACTGCTGCACATTGATCCTAAAGTACTTAGGATGGGGTTAAATGCAGGGGACAAATTTCAAGTATAGTAGCGATTATATATATGGTTACTATTCATGCCAAGTTTGGTATACAGGATATATAAAACCATATGTTCAACACTGATTTGTTATCTCATAAAATCTCAGCTCGTTTGATAGAGTTCACATATAACTAGGGAGAACTATATTTGCCATCCCACATTGCCCTCTTGTGGATTTCACTTAGCCTTGCCTTTGGGAGGTATTATAGTCAATTGTGAGAGCATACATTCATGTGAAAATTTGTGTGACGAGCAACAATGAGTTATATCTATTGCTGCTCAATCAAATTATTTTGGAATGTATTCTGATTAGCCATTAGAGTAAGCCCGAAATAAATAATCACATCTGGGTGGGTGAGAGTGTGGTGAACGATGTGTGTGACAAAACACTCGCTATATTATTTACAATGTAGGGATGCACATGAATGCGCCGACACTGTATGATGGTGTACCATACATATTGAGAGAGCGGTATGTATAGACATGCTAAATTGAGATGCTACAAGGTCTTTATCTTGTTAAATAGCACAGTGACAAGACAGATAAGCAATTCTATATTAGCAGTTTGAGTTCCTACAATTATATCACTTATTACAATTTATCATTAATGTTGTTCTAATTCAAACTTATTACATTTTTTTTGATCTCATTCATCTATACTGATCTATCTGCTACAGGAGCAAGCCCCTCCATGCAGGTGTCACCACGATATGCATCTTTGTAGTTAGTAGATGCTTTGTGGGTGCGGATTCAATAACATTTATAAGGTACATGCTGCTATGGTCCAAATCGCCTAATGGTGATACTGTGGAAATCATGCCAGCAGGTTATCAGTCAAAACACAGTGGGAAATGTGAATGACATACTGTACATTGACATCAGCTCGCTGTGCTATATGTAGAAACAAGTGAGAAAGAATTTGGCTATGCATTCTATCCTTTTAGGATACTCAATTAATTTGATACACTTAACAATAATATACATTGTGCAGTGATTATAACTTTTGTGCTTTTGTCTTTGTCCTGTATAAGTTTAGGACAACTGTGAAATATATTATTTGAAAAATGCTTTTTTATGCCTAACACGAATAAGTTCATGTATTTGGAATATATGCGATACTCACCGCACCTCTGACTATCGTGATATTCTGTGGTGTGTGTAGGTTCTGGTTTGACTTACTTTGCGATCAATCGCAGTCGTGGCTGCATAGCTCAATTCTTCATCATCAGTGGTGCTTTCTCAGATCAGTCAACGTGGAGATAAATAATGATCATGATAATAACCGTGATATATACATATAATTTTAAGTGGTATTCTCACATATAAGTAAAAGAGAACACTTTTTATATTATAAAGATAACAAAAATAACAAAAAATTTATTCCTTAGCTCTCTGAGTTGAATAGTCATGTAATGTTTATATGTTTCTGGGTAAAGATGTAATTGGTCCATGTTGATTACATCAGTAGTCTGTAAGTCCTCTATGCGATTTGGTTCACATCCAGTCACTCACACTTACCACATCCTTGGGAGGTGGGATATAGCCTTAATAATACTAGATTATACATAACACATATAAACACGATAAACATGTGATACAATACATTCTCTTCCTAACCTTCTATAGTATGTTCTAGTACAATATAGTTTGGTCTAGAGACTCAAGGGAGGTGATATTAAGTCATCAGTCAGAGCATAGGGACATTATCCAGCACTGTAATCGGCAGGAGAGGTCCGTCATCTTCAGAGACTGAAATATTATGAGATTATGTGTATTTTGTATGTAATTGATACGGGAGAGCGTTATGAGGGGCAGATATTTATACTTGTCAGGTCAACTTGGCAGGTCAGAAGGAACAGTGAAGTTTTTCATGTAGAATAGTTGGTTCCAGTGCTACAGGTCAAGACCCGGCTGCCGCCACCCGACTGCTCGTGTGACCTCAGGGATGGCATTGCCTTTGGTGCTCCTCCTGTAGGCAGATACATAGACGTGTTTCTTCCACCTCCAAAGCTCTTGGGGTCCAGTTACGAATGCCATCATATTTTTGTTCTCTTCCTGAGTCTTAAATTTAATTAATTTCAGAGACTGGTTTTCTTTCATGACTGATCTCCGAGGGGCCAGACAGCTTGTTGCAAGAAGCGCCATTCCAAGGAAAGTGGATGGCAGCAAAAGATAGAACACTGCTCAGGTAGAATATGCATGCTTCATGAGTGTGATGTTGTGTAAATTTGGAGCAGGTCAGACAAATTGACTTTGGTTTTTGCCTGTGGCTGCACAGGAAGTACAGCAATGCATTCAGGAACAGGAGCCTCAGTGAAAGAAAGGTGCTGGAAGACGCTCCGAAGCTGGGTCACTATGCAAAGGAAAGGAGGGTCTGGTACTGGCCAGAATGAGGAGAGAGGACTTCAGATTCCACAGTCTGAGGACTCACAGGTATGCACAATATATTTAAGACTTATGTTCTACTTCTCAGTGTCCAATCAGCTGTAGTATTTGAGAAGGACACCTGCACAGCAACATCCACTCAGTGTTTATCTTTCCACTTCAGGAATCTCTGTCCTTGCTTGTATTCCTTTTGCAACCTGTCATTGAACCTCGCCAAACACATACCTGTAAATAACAGAAATTATTTAGTAATTAATATGAAATATTTGCATACTATATATATAGTGATATACCTATATTATATATATCTATCTTCAAATATATATCATACTATATATATCATATATATATATATATATATATCCCATCTCTGTAATTGAATTCATTAAGGGATAACTGAACCCCCATCTGTGGAGACAACTCCCATGACAGCAATCTCACACACACGGTGCCTCACACACACACACACACGTCTGTATATGCAAATGTGTTCATGTGTCAGCTATACGTAAGCGTTAATCTTTCCCACAACTTGGCTCCGACACACACAAGTGGGCTAACACATGTATGTGCATGACTCAAACACATTCAGAGTCGTGTCTAACCGGTCTAAACATATTTCAAAGCGCAAGAGTGAGCCAAGACGAGAACAGCATGCAGCAAAGTCAGTGAATCTTGGGATTCAATTTGTGCACCCAGTAAACACTGATTTGGTGATTTGCAGGCAAAAAGACGTCTAGACATTAAGTTAAAACTGGACTAAATTGGGTTTAAAGTTGTCTTAGATATCTAGGTTACTTTTAAATGGTGTTTCAACAGCTTTAATTGACTATATTTTAATGTGCAGCAGGTCCCAAATACAAGTTTACACAACA